CCCCCCCCCCTAAAAAAAAAATAATAAAAATAATAAAATAAATAAATAATAATAATAAATTAATTAATAAACAAAACAAAAAAAAAGGTGCATACACAATGCAAAGTTTGTTTATCTCCACTTCTTTTTATGCTTACTATTAATATTTCTATATATGGTACCTTTTGTTTAGGCTTATTTTCTGTCGCTTCTTCCATCAGCATCTTCTCATAGTCTCTCAGGACACCAGTGCCCCCTTTAGTCAAGTCCCCCTGCACACCATTGCCCCCTACAGTAGAGATACTGTACACAGAATCTGATTGTACCATGCCACTGTCAACTGGATGTATTTTGTTTTTCTGAAAAATGAAACAATAACACAACCAATCAACAAATATCAAATTTAATCAATTCAAATCTATCAAAGTCAAATTAAGTTTAAATTCAAAGTTACAAAAAAAAAAAATTCTAAATAGCAATATATTTGCTCAAACTTAACACTTGAATTCAACAATGCTTATGTACAAAATGAATTTTAATATCTTATTAATCCTGCTTAAACTATTTCACTTAAATAGCATATTTATCCTCAGGCCAATAAAACAGTGAGATTTTTCTTTTAGCCTAAGCCACCTTTTAAACCTTATTGACAGTCAACTCTTGGATGGCCTCATCTCTGCCCTTTTCCCCATTTTCTCTGTTTTTCCTTTGAACTCTGCGTTTATAGAAGCCATGAGTAGACAAACCAGACAGTCCTATGGCATAGAAAAAGCAAAAGAGAACAGGTAGGTGCAAGCCTAAGAGGGATATACATGTAGCAAGACAAAGACAGATTCCAAGAAAAAGTACAAATGTTCATCTTCTTTGGATCCTTGCTGTGAAATGCACAGGCATGCACAGGTGAAAAGTAGAGTCTCTAGTGTCTACTTTCTAGCTGCAGTAGAAAGCTGAGATTAGTACATACAACACACACACAGAGCTGATATTTTTATTAATAACTGAGCAAATATGAAGAGAAAATAGTTTAGAAAAGAATTGTGTAGGGTAACTACTGCACAGTCAAGAGAGATTGATATTTGTAATAAGCAAAATGCACTGTTGGGAAGAAATACGTTCACCTGGGGAAAATAAGTAGAAAAATAGTTGTAACACAGATCAATCTCGTATTGATTGGCTGGAAATTGCACCAAAAGAACCAGGAAGAGGGACATAAGTTAGTCACTGCACATTGTCGAAGACTATTTGCTCAATAAGCTGCAGAAACATGTACCAGTGCATGGTAGGGAAGATTTCACTGAATGATCAAACCAAACGCGCACACACACACACACACACACACACGAGGCTGAGTAGATGTGGAGAATAGATTATATCAAAGCAACACCAGTGATAAAACTACACAAGAAAAGAGACTAGTGCTGAAAAAAGGAAGAAAAAGAGGTTTGCACATAGGAAGATTGCTGGGAAACTGCACAAAGCTCTTGAAGAGCTGTACCTTCAAAGATGAGCGTTTTGAATTTTCTTCTTTTATTTTGCCTATTTCTCGTTCTCTTGCCTCACGTTCTGCCTCTTGACGCTGCATGACAATGTAATCGTAGGTACTGAGATCTTTGCACACTGGAAGAAATAAGGGAGAAAGACTTAAGGTAAGGTCATTCTACTAAACAACTATACTACGTAATTATATACCAACACCCATTCCAGAGATTTACTGTGTAAAAACAGCTAAATCAAATAAAGAGAAAAAAATGAAAACCTAATTTCTATTTCATTTCCCATGCACAGCAATTGTCATCTAAATGAGAAAACAAAAAAATTGTTATTCATATGTATATATATATATATATATATATATATACCATATCCCCAGTAAATAAATTATTATGCCCCAAAATAATAAAAAAGAAAATAAATAAATACCTAAAATGTTTGAAAAAAATACTTATTCACTGCAACTGTACTCTAAATGAGAAAACAAAAACCTGTTATCTTCTAATAAACAGTAAGGGTTATTCTTCAAGTTCTGCAATTCACAACTAGCCATGCCTCCAATGCATATAGAAAAAAAAAACTTATTATGACTAAGTTGAGACATATTTCCATGGTAACAATGCACAGGCACAAGTGATTCTAAAAGAGAAAAACACCCAGGAATGAATTAGTACTATTAGTTTTAACATGCAGACCATTGCAGGCAGGGGGGAGTGAATTGGACAAAGACGTGTGCGTACCTTGACAGAGCCACAACATTGATAAGGTTTTTCTTCAGAAGAACAGGGAATAGGAATCTCGCCATTCTCAACACTTGACTGACTTGCCACGCCTACATGACCTAATTCTATAACTTCGTCTTGACTTTCATCATTGGAAGACTCTTGTTTCTTGGACCGTGTCTTCTGAATGTGTTCGTAAAAAGTCAACCCATTGCATCCTACAGAGATTTGAACACAAAAAATATCAGTAAATTATATAGTTTCTTGATTCAGGTGGCCATCTTGGTTTTGTCGACCATCTTGAAAAGTCCAGTCTAACTTCCTTTTAAAATAGTCATAAGAAATAAAAATGAAAACATGCTAATGTGTAGCAACCAGTGATTTCAAAATCAGTACAGCCATGAAAAACAAATGTTTCAGAAATATATCTAAACCTACAACTTCTGTATTCACTCACAAAATTCTTAATTATACTTCAGTAATTGATCATATTTAAATTAAAAAAAAAAATTAGTAATATTTGATAAAGAAGACTCAAAAGGTCAGAAATCTATGATGTGTTCATATCAAAAACTATGTTTAGTGAGTAAATAGAACATGATATCTTGCATAAAAATCAATAAATACTGGAATAATTATGTGATACATCCCTAGTTACTAGACTTAAAATATCTTTTGGGCTGTATCACTTTCTCACACTATCATATCAACTCCCAATCTTGCATTACTTCTATAAAATTTGATTAATCCCTTTTAAATTGCTACTGTTATCATCTATTCCCAAACTCTCTATATTTTTCTTGGAATTTCTCGACAAAAATGGACTAAATCTACAAATAGTTGTAGCTATTAGTAACAAGTAAAAGAAAAGTCACTAAAACTCCAGTTATCTATAAGATATAAGAGATTGATTAACATTCTAACCATATCACATGTGTAAGGTTAAAACAGGACAACATTTCAAAATTTTTTAATCTTTCACGTGAATAAATGTTATCAATAAATATTAATTGCAGCTCAAATGAATAATTAAATGGAATAATATAAGTATTAAATATCATTTTACCAATAACATAGAAGGAATTCATCAACATAAAACAGATATAAAGTCTCTAACAATTCATTTTGAAATGACACTGTCTTAATCTTATACAAAATTTTCATATATTATAAAGAAAATAAAGTGACATTATGATTTGAGACTTTAAAATAGCCTATAAAGTGTCTTATGAAAAATCAAATAATATTTAAGCATGTTTCAGTATAAATAAATAAATAAATAAATAAATAAATAAATAACTTGTCCATATTTCAGTTAGATTAGAGCTGAGACCAATACCTATAGTGAATTTCTTAGTTACTGGCCACTGTTTTTATTTTAGTCAAATAGACTCATAAACATAGTTTGGTGGCTAAAGGGGCCAGTAGAAAAAGAGGTTTTACAGATAAAAAAGATTACTTTGTACTTACTTAAATAAATATGGAATCCAAGCAGGTGTCCTAATAATATAATGGTTATAAGAGCAAGGACTGCTGTGATTCCTAATACTGCGAGCCAGGCTTCATCAGGCACACTGGCATAGAAGATATGGAACAACACTGAAAGGAAAATATAAACATACATATATCAAAGCTCTTTCACTCATACCAAAGTCAAAACTGACTGGCTAAAATGTAAGACATTTTATAGAGAGAATTTTTAAAAAATTGTGCAATTTTGGTGGTAACTAAGTAATGTTTACAGATGAGCTGAAAGAAATGGAAGAATTTAGAGAACTGTAGCAGTAGATTTTAAAATTGAAGGGATATGGATTTTGAATTTCATATGATATTTTTGTTTCAGTTTGAGCATTTTTTTTTTTTTTCATTTTTTAATTTGGGACATAAAATAAAACTGTAGTAGAAAATATTGATAATAAAATAACAAAATAAGTAAAAATTCATACCATTTCTAATCCTATATTAATTAATAAAAATATAATTGTGTGCAAGTATAATTTTTAATCATTTACAAGACAAACTTAAAATTCCTAAATTCAACATCTACTTACATGGTGTCTCATAAGGCACAGTTGCAGTGCTGACAGTGCTGACAGTGGTGTCTGTAGTACTGTTACTGTACCCAGTTGTTAATACTGATGTTGTTGTACTTGATAAATAGTCTGAGTGAAAAGAAACAAACACAGGTGACATGAAATAATAGACAGGCACAACAGTTGCAGTAAATCACTGCTGTTGTTGTCATTGTTGCATATGGATGACTTCTAATAGAAATCAATTATGTGGTACAGTCATTACAAAAAAAAAAAAAAAAACAAATAAATGTATCCATCTCAGAAGTGACATTTTTGACTCCCAAAAAGTTGGAAATGTGCTGATAGTCAGCAAAATCTCATTACTGCATGGCAAAAACTGATAGGCAGGCACACTTACCTCTATATTGTTGCAATATATGACCATCACTTTTATCTGTGTAGTAGGCAACAAACTGTAGAATACACAGAGTTAGGATCAGCAGGCATCCTACAAGAGCTGTCACCAAGGTTAAAATAAATAGTCTGGAAAAAAATAAAAAAATATTTCTTCATAAAATCAAACCTTTATTTACAAATCATTTCTATCTGTTTAATTTAGTTGGATAACACTGAACTAAAAAATCAAAATATAAATAATTTTTCCTCTCCTATCAATGCATGCATGCCATTTGGGGGGGGGGGGGGGGGGGGGAGAGAGAGAGAGAGAATATATTCAGCAATTACTAGTGCTGGTGAATGCAAGTTCTGCACTTATATCTACTCAAAGCTCAAGTCAAAATCATACTCTAAATGTATGAAGGGTCACCACATGTTTTAAAGAATAAAGAATTTGAAACGTAAAATTTTGGAAGTGCTAATACACGACAAGTAAGCGACCCTGCTATCCCCCAATGAGCAAAGGGCAACTGAGGGGTGTAAGGAGGCCATTCACTTTTACTTAACAGAATTCACACTGGAGCCTTACATTTGTCAGTATTGTGAAAAGGCTTCATTTTTGGAGGGCGTTTGTGTGGTTGTGTTACTAGCAAGGGCCAACAACATAAACAAATCATTATGTCACTGCCATTTCATGGTCAACAAGGTTTTTTAAGGATGGTATGCCTTACTAATGGCCAGTATTTTGTTACAAAATGTGGAATTTCTCTACTTACATTCAAACAAAGGATAATTGTGAACGCGTCTGAAAGGGGGGGGGGGAGAGAGATGCTGTAAACACTTGCTAGTGCCAGTGCATGCAAGTTCTGTACACAAATCCACTTAAAACACAAGTCTAAATTATACTCTAAATGTAAGAAAAGCCAACACTCCTGTTAAAAATTGAAAAACTTTGCACGTAATTTTTTGGAAGTGCTAATACATGACAAATAAGCAATCCTACCATCCCATGATGAATAAAGGGCAACTCAGAACACTAAAGAGGCTACTCAGGTTGGGCCATTATGAAAGAATTCACACTGGAGCCTTACAAATGTCAGTTCTGTGACAAGGCTTCATTTTTTGGGGATCTCTGCAAGGTACCAACAGAGGTCAGTAATAATGACAAAGAAATAAGTCATGGCCATTGTGAATACACAGTTGTACAAGGACAGTTTGCCACGTTGATGACATGCCCTTGCTAGGTAAGTCATATACTCCCCACATTTGCTAAGATACAGAGGCTGGCTGGGACATCATGCCTAGGATTTATCATGAAGTGTAGTAAAATATTTAGAAGCAGTTTGGCCTTTTAAGATATGTTTCTTAGGTCTACTTTAAGCAAAAAAAAAAAAACAAAACTGCTTCAATCAAAATGTGATGTTAAAGTAACAAATTTTTTATTAGCTTTTATGGTAACTTTTCTAAGATTTCTGAATTCTTAGTATTATTTTTGCATAAGACACCTTTGTGACTCATAACTTTGCAGCTGTATCCTAGAGTTAACTTACTTGTAGTTTCTGCCTCCTACGCAGTTATTGAGCCACTTACAGTGGTGATCAAAATCACTGACACACTTGTTACAGGCACTACAATGTTTAGATTTTGGTCCTCTGAAAGGAAAAAAGATTAATTTTGCATTTCCTTTCCAAGTCACAAAGTTAGACATTTCATTCACTCTCTCATAGTTGAAGAAACTCAAGCCTGTTTTATCCACTCTATACAAATTCAAATCTTCTGAAGTATCATATTAAACGTCAGCATAGCAAAAACATATTAATCAAGTTTTCAAACCTAAAAAAAGAAATGCAACTTACACTTCTACTTCACAGATATAACAGTGGTCATTTTCTATAACATGGGCATGTAGTGTTCTATCAAATATGGCAGCAGGTGTCTTCCCCGCTTTTTTGATTACATTCACATCAGCTGGGTTGACTGTGCAGGCCATTAGATGCACTATAAAATGTGCTAAAAATAAGATCCCTTGCACCTAAGAAAATGCTGAGTTAAGTAAAATAACAGTTTAATAATAATAATAATAATAATAATAATAATAATAATAATAACATAAGTTAGTCAGGGAATAAGTTCACCCTGATGTATAACATGGTATTTTAATATGAAAGGTTCATTTTTCCATCTAAAATAATTGACAAGGATGTAAAAGTTACCTTTATGCAGAATTTTGGATGGAGAAAAGGAATCTTTCAATAATAATAATAGTAATAATTAAAACAAAAATAAAGCAAAAATTTTAATAATTTAAATAAAATAAGAATAATTTATTTCAAATCAAATCGATTGGACTGTATACTAGTAGGTTGGTAGGTAGGATTTTAAGCCTTATAAACTTTCCCTGCACTACTAAACAATATTTCTTTAAAATATCAATATATCTTTAAATTATTTGCTCAAATTTCATCATATGAAAATATCAAATTTCATGGGACACTAAAATGTTTCCATTAAATTTTACATGAAATAATGTGAAAGGATACCACATAACCAGCAGTTTGCCATTCCACTGGCAAACCAGGCACCAAAATAACAAAATGTATCACACCAAAGAATATGATAAACCCCCAGGCAACAAACTGTAAGGGATGTGGGGGGCAGGACCAGCCGTTCTCTCTACTGGGCTGCTGGACCTCTACATTGGTGTCAGCACCCATCTGTAATAATAAAAATAGTTATAAAATATAAACACGATAAAAAAATATTGAAAAATCAAATACAATCATTGTTTAGTTGATTTTACTGCAACTATAATTTTAGAATATGATCATCACATAATTGTAATGTTACAAAAGAAAAAAGATTTTATCATTCATACAATTAATTTGAATGGATGGTGATCATAAGCTACTTATGCAGCAGTGATGAAAAACATTTGTTCCAATTGCCTGTTAAAGATTTTTAATAACTTTTTTTGCATAAGAACGAGTATTTTAGAAAAATTCCCTGTCCTTATATAATATATGAATATATTTCAAATCAACATGTCAACATGTATCAATATCAAACTGTGAATGGAATGATGCTATTGGCATTTGAAGAAAATGCTTTAAATTATCTAATGTGCAATTTCTACTTTCATAAAACAAGAGTTAGATAACAGGCTCCAATACCGTGTCCAAATGTGGTGTCTTAAATCACTTTGTTCTTGTAAACTGGTGCATTATTTTTTATAATCTAACGCAAACCTTGAGTATGAAAAACTTTAATTTTTAACCTTCGTGTAATTAAACTCGATCTTACCGTTTTCAATAGATATCAGTTATGTTCGTGTAAATATGATCGGCCTTCTCCACCATCCGCCATTTTCAATCGATTTCAGGTAACTAATGACATTCCGCTAGAAAATAGTTACAATGTCTCAATGGCAAATGTTAAAAATGTCACTTATTCCCATTTCTCCCTATAAAAGATAACAAAAGAGATAATTTATTAATATAAAATTCTGACGAAGTATTTTATGGGACAAGGAGCAGTCTTTTTCGGATAGTCCTATCGCGCATTGATAATCAACTGAGCCTCATCACCTAATCGGACCAGCTTTTCGCTCTTCTTGAAAAGAAGATTTGAAGCAGGTGCACGGGAACACATGAGATTTCCATGCCTTTATTATTTTCCGTAGTTTTTTACTGAGAAGAGAAAACAATATGGAATCGGACGTGAGAGATTTAGATACGGCACCCAAAGCAAGTATCGACACAGTTGGTCTGAATAATCAGGTAATATAACTGGCAAAATTTAGGAGCTACAAAGACACAAGTAGCTAGTACTGAGTACATGTACGTAGTAGCTAAAGCGAATTACTCTGTAGCACTTTACTAAATGCAAATGTTTGAAGTTGATTAAAAAATAAAAAAACATCCCAACTAAATTGTAATACACTGTACACACATTAATACTTTTAAGATATCAAATACCTGGATTAAATATATGGGATCAAGTTACAGCTATGAAAATGGATGCAAAAAAATAAAAAAAGTTTAAAAAAGTTTAAAAAGAAACAAGTCTTGGTAGAGGTTGTAGCTTCACAGTACCATCAATTACTTATTTTGAACTTAGTGAGCATTAGGGGCATATTTCAAAAAATTATTTACTTTTCTTTCAGTTGGTGTCTATGAGGAAAACTGTGAAGAAAGCTCGGGTCCAGGTCATCAATAAGTTAACAAGACAGATACGTAAATTGAAACCAAAAGGGTGAGTTTTTAATACATACAGGAGCTATTAAATACATACTTTTTATACAATATCTAAATTGCTTGTCTGTAAATATGCATGTAGCACTTATATCCAGTTTCCCACAATTTCATAATAATATCACTTCAAAAAATAGTAGATGGTTACATTAGCAGGCTGGATAGAATTTATGTGGTAGCCTGGATTTGTTTGTTTATTTGTTTGTTTGTGTTTATTTGTTTGGTTATTTTTATGGACAGACAGTATATGTGGACATGTGGCCACTACCAGTCTCTATCATTGCGGTTGGTGTTGCTGTGGACATTCCACATTTCTGTACAGGATAACTGTTAATTATTATTCTCAGTTTTAAATGAATGATTATAAGGACTAAAATACAGCTCAAGTTAAAAAAAAAACACATCTTTTGTTTATTTCATCTTGAACTTATGAAGATTTTCTTGATAATTTTCAGAGAAAGTGGGCTACCAGGCAGAGAGAAAAGTGCAAGGAGACTTGAGAGATTGAAGGCAGAGATGGAAGTGATTAAAGTAAAGATTTGATTTGTTTTTGAAATGGTGATTTGTCAGTGTCAGGTTTACAGTAGCCATCTGGTATTAGTATGTATTGCTTCTGACAGATTGTTCAGTATTTTTAAATTAGTCATTTTATTGTGATCTTCTTATTGTCAGAGTTTGAAAAATTTTAGTCAGTTTATTTGTTGCATTAAATATTTGAGTGTTATTAATGTGCCTTACAGAAAGCTATTATTATTATTATTATTGTTGTTGTTGTGTTTCTTGCAGGGTTTGAATGCAGATAAGGTTTCCAAGTATGCATTAGCTTCAACAACTAGTTTTGCCGATGTTTGTAAACAGGTACATAAAATATTACTGATTAAAATATTTAATTTTTTTTTTTATTTCTTCTTAGATATTTACAACAGATTTATAGATTCTTCCCTATTCACCTATGATGTACTGAGTAAAATACAGTGATATTACTAGTATATAGGGGATTGTTGTGCAATTAAAGCCTATTTCCTCTATATATAGCTTGTATGGAAGTTATAATTTTGTTTCCTTTGATGACTTAAATATCCCTTTTCAAATATTTCATTTTCAAAATGGAAGGAACCACCAGTAACGGTTCATTCAGCATTAGCCAAGTGAATAAAGCTGTCCTGATGTGAATTGACAGGCACTAGGGTCCTTTTGTTGTTTTTGTTCTGCTTTGTTGAACATTTATTGTCCATTTTGATGTGTAAATCTGAATATGTTTCAGCCAAATGCATCTGAAGTTGGCAGAGCAATGGCAAGACTTGCAGATAATGCTGTCTTACAGAAGGCAGTAAAAGAGTTCCGCAGCAAACATGCAGACTGGCCATCATTGGCTGCTTATCTCTTAGCAAAAACGACTAATAGAAAATTCAAGAAGAAAAAGAAAAAGGTTAAACAAAAGAATCAAGGGAAAAAACTGGAAGTTAAAAGGAAAGTTGATGCATTTACGCTGGAACTACGTTTAAAAAGCAAAGAAAAACTTGAAAAAGACAAAACTGAACAAAAACAGAAAATGAGCAATGCAGAGAATACAGCATCTCATTCTTCAACACTGGCACAATCAGAAAAGAAAGTAATTTCTCCCAAGGAGTCCATATTTTCTCAACAGGATATCCCCAGTTGGGATCATTCTTCTGAATCTGATGGCAGTGATTTGTCAGATTCAGATGAAGATAATATGCTTGAATCTGACAGTGATGCCTCTGGTGAAGATGATGAAAAATCCACCAAACCTTCAATATTATCCTCCATGTCAACTACAAAGTCAGTTGTAACATCTGACATGTCCAGAGAATGCACCAAGACAACCACATCGTCTTCTGAACCCATTGCAAGACCTCCTAAAGCCTCTGTCATTGTGGAAAAAGAAACAGAAGAAATGGTAGTAAAGAAATTAGATTTACGTCAGCTTCCAGACACTGGTGAAGTTCTGACAAAAAGTGGTGCTTTGAAGATGGCTTCAAATTTAAAAGTGAACATATTTGGAGATACAGGTGCTTCTAAGACGGGACACAATAAAGATCCATTTTTCCAGTGCAGTGATGACTCTGGAGAAGAAGAGAGGGAAGAGGAAGATGATGATGGTGAAAACGTCACTGAGTTGACGTCCTCAAGACACGTTCCTCCTAAGAGAAGATTTGAGTCCANTCCTGCCTAAGATTTACTATGAAGTGTAGTAAAATATTTAGAAGCAGTTTGGCCTTTTTAGATATGTTTCTTAGGTCTACTTTAAGCATAAAACAAAACTGCTTCAATCAAAATGTGATGTTAAAGTAACAAATTTTTTATTAGCTTTTATGGTAACTTTTCTAAGATTTCTGAATTCTTAGTATTATTTTTGCATAAGACACCTTTGTGACTCATAACTTTGCATCTGTATCCTAGAGTTAACTTACTTGTAGTTTCTGCCTCCTACGCAGTTATTAAGCCACTTACAGTGGTGATCAAAATCACTGACACACTTGTTACAGGCACTACAATGTTTAGATTTTGGTCCTCTGAAAGGAGAAAAGATAAATTTTGCATTAACACCTGCATTTCCTATCCAAATAACAAAGTAAGAAATTTCACTCTCCCAAAGTAAAAGAAACTTAAGCCAGTTTTATCCACTCTATAGAAATTCAAATCTTCTGAAGTATCATATTAAATGTCAGTACAGCAGAATCATATTAATCAAGTTCTCAAACCTTAAAAAAAGAAATGCAACTTACACTTCTACTTCACATATATAACAGTGATCATTTTCTATAACATGGGCATGTAGTGTTCTATCAAATATGGCAGCAGGTGTCTTCCCTGCTTTTTTGATTACATTCACATCAGCTGGGTTGATTGTGCAGGCCATTAGATGCACTATAAAATGTGCTAAGAATAAGATCCCTTGCACCTAAGAAAATGCTAAGTTAAGTAAAATAACATTTTAATAATAATAATAATAATAATAATAATAATAACATTATTTAGTCAGGGAAAAAGTTCACCTTGATGTATAACATGGTATTTTAATATGAAAGGTTCATTTTTCCATCTAAGATGTAAAAGTTACCTTTATGCAGAATTTCGGATGGAGAAAGGGAATCTTTCAATGATAATAATAATTAAAACAAAAATAAAGCAAAAATTTTAATAATTTAAATAAAATAAGAATAATATATTTCAAATCAAATCGATTGGACTGTAAAGGTTGGCAAGTTGGGTTTTAAGCCTTATGAACTATCCCTGCACTACTAAACAATATTTCTTTAAAATATCAATATATATATCAGTGTATGAAATTGAAGGAAATTACTAGCCAGACCGCCGGGCAGGTAACTCTGAAAAGTTACCAGCCCGGCCATGTAGTTACCTGCCCTAGTTATGATAACCTCTAGAGTTAAGAGAGGTATGCTGAGGGGGGTCTAGAATGCATTCTTAGGAGAGCAAGTTGGAAATGAAAGGGCAATATCATGCCTTATGCGTGGACATTTAGAAATTGGTTGGAATTTCTACTGAATGATACCTTGTCAGTGTTGGATTTAGAGGGCGGGTCCTGACGCCCCCGACCCCCTTTAATTTCTGCAAAAAAAAAAAAAAAAAAAAAAAACTCAGCTCTTGAAATAAGACTTTTCGCTAGTTGAATCATAATATCGGTATCCATAGATTAGATCGACCTAACTCTCTGGGGGTTCACGCTAAATAGCTGTCAGCCGGGCGGACACGAAAGTTAATTACCTCCTTACAGCTTGTAGTAGGCAGGACGGACATTTAAATTGGAATATCTGAAAGTAATCTACTGAGACTCCCCGCGGGGATAGATCCATCTTAAATCTATGGGAATAGAGCCATAGTTCTAAACCATACCAAATTGCACCATTCACCATCTAAAATACCAAAAATTTTCAAGGCCCTTTAGCGGGCGGGGGAGGGGGGGAGTAGTCAATTCAGTTTATGTTCACCTTGCAGGCTGTCTCATTTCTTCTTCAATAATTTATTCATAACTTTTATTCCGATTTCGTGATTTCATTTGATNAAAAAAAAAAAAACTCAGCTCTTGAAATAAGACTTTTCGCTAGTTGAATCATAATATCGGTATCCATAGATTAGATCGACCTAACTCTCTGGGGGTTCACGCTAAATAGCTGTCAGCCGGGCGGACACGAAAGTTAATTACCTCCTTACAGCTTGTAGTAGGCAGGACGGACATTTAAATTGGAATATCTGAAAGTAATCTACTGAGACTCCCCGCGGGGATAGATCCATCTTAAATCTATGGGAATAGAGCCATAGTTCTAAACCATACCAAATTGCACCATTCACCATCTAAAATACCAAAAATTTTCAGGGCCCTTTAGCGGGCGGGGGAGGGGGGGAGTAGTCAATTCAGTTTATGTTCACCTTGCAGGCTGTCTCATTTCTTCTTCAATAATTTATTCATAACTTTTATTCCGATTTCGTGATTTCATTTGATCATAATTTTTGCTTTTCTGTATAGCAGCAAGTAGGCCCTATGACCAAATACATATATATTCTTGTCAAATAAATCGATCTCTGTGCTGACAGTAAAGAAGAAAGAATTCAGCACGTAGGGTCCCTTTGAATATCGCTTAAAGCGGTCGGGAACGGTCCTGCACGCTAATGGTCCATAGACAGTCCTGCAGGGCCCTGTATCTCGAAAGCATCGCTTATTGAGAATAGCTATATCACGTAGAGGCTACAATATATTATATGGGGCGAGTGTGGGCGAGTTATTGGATCGAGATGCTTGCGCTCGGTCGCAATGCGTGATACTTTCGAGTTACGGTTTTACAAAAAAATGTTGCCGCTCGACTCATTGCAAATCGAAGTCACCTTTCCATGGGTCCCAATTTGTTCTCTTTCGTTTGGTTCTGTCGTAATCTTTCTTATTTTTATATCTTTCCTCAATTGTTTTTCTTTTTTGAACTTGTCTATCGGACTTGATAGATTTTTTTCATTTTTGACAGCCCAAGATGAAAGCACGTGGGGAAAAGAACTACATCTGACGCACGGCGTAAACTCGTACGTTCACTCATAATTTTGGGATTCAAATTTTTTGTAAAATTCTCCTTTAATTTGCCTCCGTTGCCTTTATTACAGTTGATTATAAGCACTTCATGTACCTGTAGGTCTATTTAATCAATATCATAACTTTTTATACTTTCACATTTTTAGTACTCTCCACCTACAAATTTCTACTCCGGTATCTCCTCCACACAAAACAATGCCGTTACGTTATCTGCTGTTCACTGAAGCTGAACGTTTCAAGTTGTCTTTCAACTTCATATCACACAGATGGAACTTCGAAAACGAGGCCACTGAGAGGGAGACTGTTGGTTACATTTCGATACGAGCGTTCGATTGCAAGCTATGGTTAGTTCTTTGCTTCTATGAAAGTGGGTGTAAACAGTGAGTTGATTTGATATTTTGCCGAAATCGCTTGTGAACATAGACAAAATAAAAGGTGAAAATAGGCTGTGAAAATAGCCAGCCCGTCGGGCTGGTAATTTGTAAATCTTACCCGCCCGACCTGAAAGTTACCAGCCTCGGGCTGGCGGCCATTTCATACACTATATATATATATATATATATATATATATATATATATATATATATATATATAAATTCATCATCCTTTGCTCAAATTTATCATATGTATATATCACATTTCAGGTGACACTAAAGCTTTTCCATTAAATTGTACGTGAAATTATGTAAAAGGATACCACATAACCAGCAGTTTGCCATTCCACTGGCAAACCAGGCACCAAAATAACAAAATGTATCACACCAAAGAATATGATAAACCCCCAGGCAACAAACTGTAAGGGATGTGGGGGGCAGGACCAGCCGTTCTCTCTACTGGGCTGCTGGACCTCTACATTGGTGTCAGCACCCATCTGTAATAATAAAAATTGTTATAAAATACAAACATGATAAAAAATATTGAAAAACCGAATACAATCATTGCTTAGTTGATTTTACTGTAAGTATAATTTTAGAATTTGATCATCACATAATTGTAATGTTACAAAAGAAAAAAGATTTTATCATTCATACAATACACTTGAATGGGTGGCGATCATAAGCTACTTATGCAGCAATGATAAAAATCATTAGTTCCAATTGCCTGCTAAAGATTTTTTAAAAACTTTTTTTTTTTTTTTTTTTTTTTTTTTTTTTTTTTTTTTTTTTTTTTTTTTTTTTTTTCATAAGAGCGAGAATTTTAGAAAAATTCCCCGTCATTGAATTATATATAAATATATTTCTAATCAACATTCATGTCATCATGTATCAATATCAAACTGTGAATAGAATGATGCTATTGGCATTTGAAGAAAATGCTTTTAATTGTCAAATGTGCAATTTCTACTTTCATAAAACAAGAATTAGATAACAGGTTCTAATACCGTGTCCAAATGTGGTGTCTTAAATCACTTTATTCTTGTAAACTGATGCATTATTTTTTATAATCTAACGCAAACCTTGAGTATGAAAAACTTTAATTTTTAACCTTCGTGTAATTAAACTCGATCTTACCGTTTCCAATAGATATCAGTTATGTTCGTGTAAATATGAGCGGCTTTCTCCACCGTCCGCCATTTTCAATCGATTTCAGGTAACTAATGACATTCCGCTAGAAAATAGTTACAAGGTCTCAGTGGAAAATGTTAAAAATGCCACTTATTTCCATTTCCCCGGATTAAAGATAACAAAAGGGATATTTAATTAACATGAAATTCTATCAAAGTATTTTTATGGGACAAGGAGCAGTCTTTCTCGGATAGTTCTATCGCGCATTGATAATCAACTGAGCCTCATCACCTAATCGGACCAGCTTTTCGCTCTTCTTGAAAAGAAGATTTAAAGCAGGTGCACGGGAACACATGTAATTCGGAGATTTCCATGCCTGTATCATATTTTCCGTAATTATTACTGAGAAGAGAAAACAAAATGGAATCGGACGTGAGAGATTTAGATACGGCGCCCAAAGCAAGTATCGACACAGTTGGTCTGAATAACCAGGTAATATAACTGGCAAAATTTAGGAGCTACAAAGACATACTAGTAGCTAGTACATGTACATGTAACTGTAACACTCTAGTACTCTGTAACACTTTACTAAATGCAAATGTCTGAAGTTGATTAAAAAAAAAAATCCCAACTAAATTGTACACTTACATTAACACTTTAAGATATCAAATACCTGGATTAAATATATGGTATTAAGTTACAGCTATGTAAATGGATGCAAAAAAAAAATAAATAAAGAAAGAAAGAAAGAAAGAAAAGAAACAAGTCTTGGTAGAGGTTGTAGCTTCACAGTGCCATTAACTACTAATTTTGAACTTAAGTGAGCATTAGGGGCATATTTTAAAAAATGATTTACTTTTCTTTCAGGTGGTGTTTATGAGGAAAACTGTGAAGAAGGCTCGCATCCAGGTCATCAATAAGTTAACAAGACAGATACGGAAATTGAAACCAAAAGGGTGAGTTTTTAATATAAAGGAGCTATTAAATACATACTTTTTGTAGAGCAAATAACAATATCTAAATTGATCGTCTGTAAATATTCATGTAGCACATAGCCAGTTTCTCACATTTTTATGATATAAGCACTTCAAAATAATAGCAGATGGTTACATTAGCAGGCTGGATAGAATTTATGTGGTAGCCTGGGTTTGTTTGTTTATTTGTTTATTTATTTATTTATTTATTTATTTTTATGGACAGACACAGTATATCAGGACATGTAGCCACCATCTGTCTCTATTATTGTGGTTGGTGTTGCTGTGTACATTCCACATTTCTGTAAATTTTACTTGTTATTATCGCAGGAAAACTGTTAATTATTTTTCTCAGTCTTACATGAATGATTATAAGGACTAAATACAGCTCAAGTTTAAAAAAAACACATCTTTTGTTTATTTCATCTTGAACTTCAGAAGATTTTCTTGATAATTTTCAGAGAAAGTGGGCTACCAGGCAGAGAGAAAAGTGCAAGGAGACTTGAGAGATTGAAGGCAGAGATGGAAGTGATTAAGGTAAAGGTTTGATTTGTTTTTGAAATGGTGATTTGCCAGAGTCAGGTTTACAGTAGCCAGCTGGTATTAGTATGTATTGTTTCTGACAGATTGTTCAGTATTTTGAAATTCGTCATTTTATTGTGATCCTCTTATTGTAAGAGTTTGAAAATTTTTAGTCAGTTTATATGTTGCATTAAATATTTGAGTGTTATTAATGGGTTACAGAAAGCTATTATTATTATTATTATTATTATTATTATTATTATTATTGGGTTTCCTGCAGGGTTTGAATGCAGATAAGGTTTCCAAGTATGCATTAGCTTCAACAACTAGTTTTGCCGATGTTTGTAAACAGGTTCGTAAAATATTACTATTAAAAATATTTAATGTTTCTTATTTCTTCTTAAATATTTACTATAGATCTATAGATTCTTCCTATTCACCTATGTTGTACTGAGTAATATACAGTGATATTACTAGTATATAGGGGATTGTTGTGCAATTAAAGCCTACTTTCTCTCTATACAGCTTGTATGGAAGTTATCATGTTCTTTCCTTTTGATCACTTAAATATCTCTTTTTCAAATATTTCATTTTCATTTGAAGTAAAAATGGAAGGATCTACCAGTATCTGTTCATTCAGCATTAGCCAAGTGAATAAAGCTGTCCTGATGTGAATTGACAGGCACTAGGGCTCTTTTGTTGTTTTTCTTTTGCCTTTTGGAACATTTATTTTCCATTTTGATGTGTAAATGTGAATATGTTTCAGCAAAATGCATCTGAAGTTGGCAGAGCCATGGCAAGACTTGCAGATAATGCTGTTTTACAGAAGGCGGTCAAGGAGTTCCGCAGCAAACATGCAGACTGGCCATCATTGGCTGCTTATCTCTTAGCAAAAACAACTAATAGAAAATTCAAGAAGAAAAAGAAAAAGGTTAAACAAAAGAATCAAGGGAAAAAACAGGAAGTTAAAAGGAAAGTTGATGCATTTACGCTGGAACTACGTTTAAAAAGCAAAGAAAAACTTGAAAAAGACAAAACTGAACAAAAACAAAAAATGAGCAATGCAGGGAATACAGCAACTCATTCTTCAACACTGGCACAATCAGAAAAGAAAGTAATTTCCCCCAAGGAGTCCATATTTTCTAAACAGGATATCCCTGGTTGGGATCATTCTTCTGAATCTGATGGCAATGATTTGTCAGATTCGGATAAAGATAATATGGTTGAATCTGGCAGTGATGCCTCTGGTGAAGATGATGAAGAATCCACCAAACCTTCAATATTATCCTCCATGTCAACTACAAAGTCAGTTGTAACATCTGACATGTCTAAAGAATGCACCAAGACAACCGTTTCATCTTCTGAACCCATTGCAAGACCTCCTAAAACCTCTGTCATTGTGGAAAAAGAAACAGAAGAAATGGTAGTAAAGAAATTAGATTTACGTCAGCTTCCAGACACTGGTGAAGTTCTGACAAAAAGTGGTGCTTCGAAGATGGCTTCAAATTTAAAAGTGAACGTATTTGGAGATACAGGTGCTTCTAAGACGGGACACAATAAAGATCCATTTTTCCAGTGCAGTGATGACTCTGGAGAAGAAGAGAGGGAAGAGGAAGATGATGATGATGGTGATGGTGGTGAAAACGTCACTGAGTCAACATCCTCAAGACCCGTTCCTCCTAAGAGAAGATTTGAGTCCACGTTTGTGGGTGCACTGAATAAACCAAGAAAATTGCCCGATGCTAAATCAAAACCAAAGTATGCACTGTACATAAGGCTTTGCTTGATCAATTCCTTTATTTTGCTTTTGTGTTTAGTCTTTAGACTTCTGACCTTTGGTTATTTATTTTATCTTAACCTAACAAATAATATCTGCGATATAATCAAAAGCCTGTGGAATTAAATGGTTTAAAGAAATGTTAATATTACGTAATATGTTTCATTATTAAATGGTACACATGTAAATGATATGATGTTGAAAATAATCGATGTGTTTTACTTTCTTTGCTTTATCTGTACTTAATACCCCCTCTCCCTCTGTACCATATCAAGCACCACTTTAAACCATTCTTATCTTTTAAATTATTTATAATTGTTCATAAAGGTTTGAGAGAGACAACAGGAGGGGCAACCCCAGACAACCTTCAAGGCCTGAGGCAAAGAAAATGGCTGGTGCAAGGAAGTCCAACTCCTCTAGACCACAACAGAAGCTGTCACCTGGGAAACCATGGACCAAAACAACAGGTATAAATAACTGCAGGGTGTTTTGTGAAGTTTTATGAAACTCGGTGGCTTTTATTTGGTTCTTTGTACATTACTAGTAGTCTGATCTGGTTTATCTTTGTGAACAAGTTGATATCTATATATTTAGTATTAATATATTAATAGATAATTTAGATGAAATAATCCTATGGTTGTAGAAGTTGTGGATAAAGTTTGCAATGCTCTACTGATTTAACTTGTAGGAGTTTTAGTAATTGGAAATTCAGTTCTGTAACTGGCTTACCTTTGCCATTTCTAATGACCAAAACCAAGGGTATGCTGGGTTAAAGAGATTTGCAGTCGGTATTATGAAACTGGGGACGGACTTGTTATCTGATGTTTTTGTACCAGCAATTTGTCTCTGCTCTGAAAAATATATTTCATTTTCTGTTATTTCAAAAAAATTAATCTGCAAGTTAATTTTTTTTTATTTGTATGTCATTTATAGTTTATGATGCAATTATTTCAGAGGGCAGTGCTGTAAATAAAGAGCAGATGACCTCCCTCCATCCTTCTTGGGAGGCCAGCAAAAAACGTAAACAGCAACAGAGTGCCGTCCATGCCTTTCAGGGAAAAAGGATCAAATTTGAGGACTCGGATGACAACTAGTGCAACAGCATTGGGGTGCGGTCCATGCTTTTCAGGGAAAAATGATCAACATTGTAGGATTCTGATGACCATTGAAACAATTTAAATAAATATAAATGTAAATTATTACCTGCCGATGATTGAAAAAACTCTCAAGGTTTGAGTTTTAAAGACATTAATTATATATTAAAAGGAATTCATCTCACATTAGAATAAAATTCATGTTCAGCAATTTATACCCTATTTAAAACTGCCAAGAAAATTACTGAATAAGTGTGTTTTTGAGATACAAGCCTTTAAATTTTTACATTATTACAAGAGAAATTTGCCAGTTCCCATCTTCATAACACATTTCCATAATTTTTTTCTAAGAAGACTTAACACTCCTTTATCTTTAAGATGTGTTTTAGAAGGCACTACTTGAATATTATCAATACGGACATTGATATATTTAAATGTTTAATACACGAAATTATTATTCATTTCGAGTGATTGTTCGGTGAAGGAAAAAGTTGACTCTGCCTCAAGAAATAAAGTATTTCATTATAAATGTGTGGGTTTATTATTAAAATCATAGCATTTTGGTTTACATGGGTTAAAATGTTTTACAGTGTTCACAAAACTGCAATAGACAAAACAACATTTTTATCAATTCAATAATTTAAAACCAAATGCCAAACTTGAATCCAATTCTAATTTTCTATAATCAAGGAAATGTTAAATATTTATAACAAATTTTCTGATTAAACAAATACAACAAACTACTCACATCTAACTGAAAAAAATGTTAGGTAGGAACACATTCCAAACTGCCATAAGTATTCGTAAATATATGTTAACTATTAATGACTTTTTACAAATAAAATGGTATAACCATTAAACTAAATTGACTTTTCCATGAAGACAATGCTTTCATATTGCTTTGTCCACTAAAACAGTTATTAACAATAAGTTAACAATGTTATAAATATACTTACATAAGTTAATAGTAAAATCAAATATGTTGAAAGTATTCATACTTACTGCTTTTGAATTAGAACAGTTTCTGTTTCCATCATTTCACTAGTTTGTCTGCTTTATATACACTTTTTTTTTTTTTTTTTTTTTGTCGCTTTCTAAGATTATCCTTATTTCAAGAGGAAAAGGTGTTAAACAAAGCTGAACAATCGGGTAACTGTTGAAACCATCCAACCTTGGTCGAAAACACTATGTTAAATAGATGGTATTCTAACAAAATGAGGTAAGTTCCCTGAGAGCGGATCTTCCTGCATTTATCTTTCAGCTAAACTAGTATTCACACCGAGAAAGAAAACCTGTTTTGCACTAATGAAACCTGTATCAGGACTGGCCTCAGTTTTGAGAAATGTTAGAAGATTAATAAATAAGAACATTAAATGTATGGACCTGCTTGGCTGCCATGCAGGTAAAGTATTAATCTGCCAAAACCTTCAGATAAACCATAAAAAGCTATTTCCACAAGTATTGGGAACATAAATGCCTGTATATAATATTGCATATAAACTGACTTCAGATCTGAATAGATATCAGTAAGAATAAAAACTGGTATGGGAAACTGGATATAGATATTAAAGCATTGTTATGAGTAAAACCTCAGCTGTGCCATTGCCTTCACCCACCTTACAGAACTCGAAGCACTACTGTGACGCGTGCGTGTACAAGCCTATAAACTAAGGTTAATAGAAAGAAGAAAAAAAAACATTGCACACCATACAATAAAGTAAATTCTGAAGGCGCATTTTGTTATTATGTGCACACACACCCTTTCAAGTCATATTCAGTAAATTCCAAAAGTTTACAAATCTGTCACGCCAAAAAGAGGGTGCTTCAAAAGGACAGGACACATTTGGTTTACCTTACTCCTTAATAAAAACAGATAAAATGTCTCAATAAAAGTTAAAAGGACAGTGACTTAAAAATAAAATCAAGGGCACCATCAGTTGTCCCCAATATAGAGTTCTCCCTACAATAACTTTGCCTCTAACTGGGGACTGATGCAAAACAGTGCAAAAAAAAAAAATAATAATAATAAAATAAATAATAATAAATAAATAAATAAATAAATAAATAAAAAAAATAAAAAAATAATAAATAACTTGACAATCAAAACAGTTCTTAAATAAATTATATACAATTATATATAACAAATAAGTAGCTGAGGATATTATTTTTATGAGCTGCCTCTGCAGTAATCCTTAGCACCAAAATTTTGTTTAATCATAAAGATTACAACATTAAGGTCACTTATCTTGGGAGAGTTTAAATTTATCTTGGTCTAAAAGAACAAACAGTAGGCTTACTGAAATAAATTGAATAACTGCACAGCATTTCTTTCTTTATAGGGCATGGTATTCCATCAGGGAAAAATTACAGGAAATGATCTTTGAACCATGGCATTGAGGTTCCTAATAGCATAAATGTATGATTTTAAAAAATTTCTTTTTTAAAATCTTAAAATACTTATACCAGTTTCTTTAAAAAATATTGCTGCCAGTAAAATGTGAGACTATATAATTATGCTGTGCAGTAACCAATTTGATTGCAAATATGTTCTGCATCCCTGTGGGGACATGGTCCATAAGTAATAATTATCAAGTTAGAATAAAACATATCTAACAAACACTAAAATCATTTCAAATATCTATTTATCCTGCCATTTATACAACACTGCTACATCCCTCCCCCTCCTTTTCTTTAATTAAATTTTACAAGTCATAACAAGATTATCTTTAACGACCTAAATTGGAAATATTATGCAATGTAAAACCAAGGACAAAATAAAATATTGACTTGACAACATTAAAAGACTTGTNATCTTATAGGATCCTATAGGAAATCTTATAGGAACCTATAGGAAATCTTATAGGAAATCCTATAGGAAATTTTCGTAAGGGCACGTTTGTGGGTGCACTGAATAAACCAAGAAAATTGCCCGATGCTAAATCAAAACCAAAGTATGCACTGTACATAAGACTTTGCTTGATCAATTCCTTTATATTGCTCTTGTGTCAAGTCTTTAGACTTCTGTTTCTTTTGGTTATTTATTTTATCTTGATCTAACAAATGATATGTGACATCATCAAAAGCCTGTGAAAGAAAACGGTTTAAAGAAATTTTAATATTAATGTTTCATTATCAATTGGTACATATATGTAAATGATAAGATGTAGAAAATAATTGATGTGTTTTATTTTCTTTGCTTTATCTGTACTTAATACCCCCTCTCCCTCTGTACCATATCAAGCACCACCTTAAACCATTCTGATCTTTTAAAATTATTTATAATTGTTCATAAAGGTTTGAGAGAGACAACAGGAGGGGCAACCCCAGACAACCTTCAAGGCCTGAGGCGAAGAAAATGGCTGCTACAAGGAAGTCCAACTCCTCTAGACCACAACAGAAACTGTCAGCTGGGAAACCATGGACCAAAACAACAGGTATAGATTATGGCAGGGAGTTCTCTGAAGTTTATGAAACTCAGTGGCTTTTATTTGGTTCTTTGTACATTACTAGTAGTTCTATCTGGTTTAATGTTTGTGAACATGTTTATATCTTTAGTTTTAGGAAGGTTTGTATATCATATGTAATGTTAATTTGAAAACATTTTAATATTCTCTGTTGTAGGAAGTGATGAATTCCACTGATTTATCTCCAGAGTTTTAACTTGTCTGTAGATTAGTTTAGTTTAGATTGGTCTTAAGACACAAATAATCCTATGTTTGTGGAAGTAATGGATAAAGTGTAATTGTTTTACTGATCTAATATATATGAGTTTAAGTAATTAGAAATTCACTTCTGTAACCAGCTTACCTTTGCCATTTTTAATGACCAAAACCAAGGGTATGCTGGGTAAAAAGAGATTTGCAGTCGATATGATGAAACTGAGGACGTACTCGTTGTCTGACGTTTTTGTACCAACAATTTGTCTCTGCTCTGAAAAACATATTTCAATTTCGGTTAGTTTCAAAAAAATTAATATACGATTAATTTTTTTATTTGTATGTCATTTATAGTTTATGATGCAATTATTTCAGAGGGTAGTGCTGTAAATAAAGAGCAGATGACCTCCCTCCATCCTTCCTGGGAGGCCAGCAAAAAACGTAAACAGCAACAGAGTGCAGTCCATGCCTTTCAGGGAAAGAGGATCAAATTTGAGGACTCGGATGACAACTAGTGCAACAGCATTAGAGTGCGGTCCTTGCCTTTCAGGGAAAGAGGATCAAATTTGAGGACTCAGATGACAAATAATGTAACAGCTTTAGAGCGCGGTCCATGCCATTTAGGGAAAGAGGATCACATCTGAGGATTCAGATGACCATTTAAGCCATCCAAATAAATGTTAATCTAAATTATTACCTGCAGATAATGATTGAGAAATCTTGCAAGGTTTGACAGTATTAAAGACGTATATTAAAGGGATAATAACTCTTCATTTTGGCCAAAAAATGAATTTTCCTGGAGTAAACAACAATTTTCCCATACTTACCAATGGTTAATGAATCCATTTTTACATTCAAAGTTAGTCCCTGTTTTTTTTTCTAAAAAGTTTGGTTTTTTTGTTAAAATCTCTTAAGAGATTATAACAGAGTATAGCCATCAATGGAGGTCACGTGGTCTGAAGACAAGCTCAGATATCAGAATAATAGCTATAACTGCTGTTTTTGTTGTAAAACAGAATATATTATATTTCTATGAGTTATTCACAATGTTTTTATTGGGAAATATAGACCTCATATGAAGAGTTATTATCCCTTTAAAGGAATACGTCTTACATTAGACCTTTAAGTAGAAAAAAATACAGCAATTTATACACTATTTAATATACACTAATTACTGAATAAGCGTGTTTTTGAGATACAAGCCTTTAAATTTTTACATTATTACAAGAGAAATTTGCCAGTTCCCATCTTCATAACGCATTTCCATAATTTTTTTCTAAGAAGACTTAACACTCCTTTATCTTTAAGATGTGTTTTAGAAGGCACTACTTGAATATTATCAATACGGACATTGATATATTTAAATGTTTAAAACACAAAATTATTATTCATTTCGAGTGATTGTTCGGTGAAGGAAAAAGTTGACTCTGCCTCAAGAAATAAAGTATTTCATTATAAATGTGTGGGTTTATTATTAAAATCATAGCATTTTGGTTTACATGGGTTAAAATGTTTTAGTGTTCACAAAACTGCAATAGACAAAACAACATTTTTATCAATTCAATAATTTAAAACCAAATGTCAAACTTGAACCCAATTCTAATTTTCTATAATCAAGGAAATGTTAAATATTTATAACAAATTTTCTGATTAAACAAATACAAACTACTCACATCTAACTGAAAAAAATGTTAGGTAGGAACACATTCCAAACTGCCATAAGTATTCGTAAATATATGTTAACTATTAATGACTTTTTACAAATAAAATGGTATAACCATTAAACTAAATTGACTTTTCCATGAAGACAATGCTTTCATATTGCTTTGTCCACTAAAACAGTTATTAACAATAAGTTAACAATGTTATAAATATACTTACATAAGTTAATAGTAAAATCAAATATGTTGAAAGTATACATACTTACTGCTTTTGAATTAGAACAGTTTCTGTTTCCATCATTTCACTAGTTTGTCTGCTTTATATACACTTTTTTTTTTTTTTTTGTCGCTTTCTAAGATTATCCTTATTTCAAGAGGAAAAGGTGTTAAACAAAGCTGAACAATCGGGTAACTGTTGAAACCATCCAACCTTGGTCGAAAACACTATGTTAAATAGATGGTATTCTAACAAAATGAGGTAAGTTCCCTGAGAGCGGATCTTCCTGCATTTATCTTTCAGCTAAACTAGTATTCATACCGAGAAAGAAAACCTGTTTTGCACTAATGAAACCTGTATCAGGACTGGCCTCAGTTTTGAGAAATGTTAGAAGATTAATAAATAAGAACATTAAATGTATGGACCTGCTTGGCTGCCATGCAGGTAAAGTATTAATCTGCCAAAACCTTCAGATAAACCATAAAAAGCTATTTCCACAAGTATTGGGAACATAAATGCCTGTATATAATATTGCATATAAACTGACTTCAGATCTGAATAGATATCAGTAAGAATAAAAACTGGTATGGGAAACTGGATATAGATATTAAAGCATTGTTATGAGTAAAACCTCAGCTGTGCCATTGCCTTCACCCACCTTACAGAACTCGAAGCACTACTGTGACGCGTGCGTGTAAAAGCCTATAAACTAAGGTTAATAGAAAGAAGAAAAAAAAACATTGCACACCATACAATAAAGTAAATTCTGAAGGTGCATTTTGTTATTATGTGCACACACACCCTTTCAAGTCATATTCAGTAAATGCCAACAGTTTACAAATATGTCACGCCAAAAAGAGGGTGCTTCAAAAGGACAGGACACCTTTGGTTTACCTTACTCCTAAATAAAAACAGATAAAATGTCTCAATAAAAGTTAAAAGGACAGTGACTTAAAAATAAAATCAAGGGCACCATCAGTTGTCCCCAATATAGAGTTCTCCCTACAATAACTTTGCCTCTAACTGGGGACTGATGCAAAACAGTGCAAAAAAAAAATAATAATAAAATAAATAATAATAAATAAATAAATAAATCAATAAAAAAAATAAAAAAATAATAAATAACTTGACAATCAAAACAGTTCTTAAATAAATTATATACAATTATATATAACAAATAAGTAGCTGAGGATATTATTTTAATGAGCTGCCTCTGCAGTAATCTTTAGCACCAAAATTTTGTTTAATCATAAAGATTACAACATTAAGGTCACTTATCTTGGGAGAGTTTAAATTTATCTTGGTCTAAAAGAACAAACAGTAGGCTTACTGAAATAAATTGAATAACTGCACAGCATTTCTTTCTTTATAGGGCATGGTATTCCATCAGGGAAAAATTACAGGAAATGACCTTTGAACCATGGCATTGAGGTTCCTAATAGCATAAATGTATGATTTTAAAAAAATTCTTTTTTAAAATCTTAAAATACTTATACCAGTTTCTTTAAAAAAATTGCTGCCAGTAAAATGTGAGACTATATAATTATGCTGTGCAGTAACCAATTTGATTGCAAATATGTTCTGCATCCCTGTGGGGACATGGTCCATAAGTAATAATTATCAAGTTAGAATAAAACATATCTAACAAACACTAAAATCATTTCAAATATCTATTTATCCTGCCATTTATACAACACTGCTACCTCCCTCCCCCTCCTTTTCTTTAATTAAATTTTACAAGTCATAACAAGATTATCTTTAACGACCTAAATTGGAAATATTATGCAATGTAAAACCAAGGACAAAATAAAATATTGACTTGACAACATTAAAAGACTTGCACCTTTAGCATCATCAACATAAACAGAAGTTCACTGACACAAAAAAATTATGAAAATCTGAGCAACAGTTGTCTATCTGTGATTTTCATTCTTTTTTCTTTTCTTTTTTTTTCTGGTTTAATTTTTCTTGATACATGTTTTATAATGTTGTATACTTTAAAAATGCCATAAATTTAGGTAAACAATTATTTGGAAAATAAAGCTCAGCTGCCATAAATAACACCTTAAAATTTGACTAATTAGATAAATGAGAAATATAGATAATTTACAATCTGATTTTATATTAATCCTTATGTTAGTGTAAAAATGCCTTTTTTTTTTCGTATAAAGTACTCATGTAAATGGGCATTAGAAAAACTTTGGAAAACTATGTCAGGCGGGGCTCAATCCAATCCTGCACAGGAACTCTTTGAGGATAAAAATGACTAAAATTCCACCAAAAAGTTTGGATCTAGAACTAAATAAAACTGGTTAGAACCCTATTTAACAAAGCTCACCCTGTGTAAATCTTGAGTCAGTTATTTTAAGTTGACTCAACACCAGACACATTGCTTTCATATAATATTTATGTGCTTGACACAATTGGCTACCATCATCACTGTTAAGAAGACGGATGTCAAATTCTCAGATTTTTTAAGCATAAAAGCAATAGCTTTTTCCTTTCGTTTAACTATAAAGTTTACCAACTCATCAAACTAGTTAAGACAAAAAGAAACAATATGCATATGGTAAAAAAATCTAAAATTTGAGGTCTGTGTTCAATTACTGGCAGTAAAAATTTTCCATTGGGTAATAATATCCGTTGCTCCTGTGTGAAAGAAATCATTTTAAAATCATATATCATATTAAAACACCCATTCCTGTCCTTTAAGTGATATCCCCATTCACTTTATCTAAGGCAAGAGAGGCAGGATGAAGCAACCTAGGATGCAATAATCAATTTAACATTTAAATGCTAACTTTTTTTCAGTTAATTTTTTTTTCACATAAATGAGTTTTTATCAAATTTATATCCAAACTGAAAGTTATTCCTCCAGGTTGACGCTGCTCTATCTGGGCTAGATAGAAAATGTTCCATTATTCCTCTCCGGTGTTATGCAGATGAATTGGTCGAACAGGATAAATAATTATTCAAACTTCACCTCCGCTGGAGTTTCGTCTTCTTGTACTGCCATAAACATTTTTTGTACCAAAATGGTAAAAGAGGCTGAAAAAAAAAAGTTTGTTGAGTAAGCAGTGTTATATGTAGAGCTATCAAAGTTTTAATCCAATATTTGACCTACAACTCTGATAAAATATGACCTAAAGTAACAACTTTAATGTTTAAAATTCTACATGAAGTCAAATCTTGCAACTTAACCCAACCAAATGCCACCATTTCCAAATAGCCTAACTCAAAGAAATACCAAAAGGTATCATCTCATACTTCCCAAAAAATAAAATCTGACGAGAGATAGTCTTTCTTTCTTTCTGTGCTATATACAACCTTCAGTTAATTGATGCTATTGCAAATACAGCATTAATGTGTCAGTGACTTCTTTATTTGCTGGTTTTTTACCAACTGTAGAGACCGATAAATAATTCAAGTTTATGACCAAAAATGTGAAGAAGGTGCACTTTTTACGCCATTCTTTGACTGACCAAATGGTTTACGTGGCTTATTCTTTGGCATGTCTACTTTTGTGTCGTATAAAAAATAGTAGAAGTGGTATATATGTGTTACAGGGAATCTTGGCCGGCTTCACATGTAAATCTAAAAACTTCACTTTTTTCATTATCTTAATTTTTCATTTTTATCATTTTCGAAATCTCATAACAGTGCACTTTCTGACACTAAGCTAACTCTCTTTTCAAAACTTTTCAATTCATATTTCAAGTATTACTTACAAAACATTTTTTGGAAGAAATATCAATTAGTGTTGTTCTAATTTGCCGAGTAATTACTGTAGTATTGAATCAGATATCTGTATGTGCATTTTTGTTGGGTGTCAGAGGAGTAGGAAAAGAATCACAAAAAATTCTTTACATATATATCACCTCAACTGGAAATCTAATAATCTACATGGCTAACCTGTTAAGTTCAGGAAAGATTTGGGTTTTCTCTTCCAGAGCACTCCAAGCCAGTAGACAGGGATTCCAGTGGACATGATCAGAATCCCTATCAGACATTCCTTGGCCTCAAAGATCAGAGGTAGAACCAGCAGGACAAAACACATCAGCACAAAGGAGATGGGGATCCACAGTGACACCTATAGGAGAGAATGGCAATGATGAGGATTGAATATGAATCAATTGCACCACCTGTAGCAGATAATTTGGTTTATAAAATATGAGAAAAAAATAAACATTAACATTTTTTAAAGACAATATATCATTTAATGCGGATGAAATATAATAAAACATAAATCCAAGTAGGATTTACTTATAGCCTTAAAGCAAAGCATTATAGTGGACTGAATAAGGGTCTGGTTTACAACCAAGTTGATCTGAGGACTTACAGATTTGAGGATCAAATATGGCGCAACCCACTTGAAAGCATGCCGATATTTAATTGCTCTGCCCTTGCAGTGACAGCTTGCTTGGGAGGCAGGGAATCCATTGTTAGGGGTTAATGGGGCATGCTTTTAAGTGCAGGACATATTTGATCCACGGACTAGTTAGCCCGCAGAACAACGGATTCTAAAAGGGCCATAAATTTTTAAGCCTAGAGTATCCAAAATAAGTCATTTGAGGATTAAAACTGGGTTCCCATCCCTAGATCAATCTAACAGGATCGTTCCATCTCCATGGGGTCTCTCGCTAAATTGCTTTCAGTTCAAGTTGCTTAGACGTCTGGCTAAAGCTGCTAAACGATAGTTAATTTACCCCTATCAGCTTTATTAGGCATGACAGACATCTAAGCTGCCCAAGGTTATTGCAATTAAGCGAGAATCCCCTCGGAGATAGTTCGATCCAAAGTTAGTACAACAGTCTCTGGAAATGGTCTCTAAGTACCCCTCACTCACTACTCACCTTAATTGGGCGTACTGCATTTGGTTCTCTGTATCTAAGATATAACAGTCCTGTGACAGACATGAAGACAATTAAAACCTCTATGAAGGTCATGTAGCTGATCAATGTGTACACATCAGTGGTAACCAGCATCAACAGGGACAGAATACACTGGAAAGGAAGGTTAGCCAAGATTACTTTAATTTCACAATTATTATTATATTGTAATTCTTAGATCTCACTTTAATGAAAGAGAAAAAGACAAGAAAAAAAAATCATTACTTCAACCTCAAGTTGCATTTTAATACTAAGAAACATTCTCCCAAGTTTGTGAACAACAAGTTACATGGTTGCATATCCTGTTAACAAGGAAAGTACACCGCCAATTTAGGAAAATGCTAACAGCGATGACAGACAAAGGTGATGGCTAAATGTCTGTCCATAAAAACGTTATTGATTAAATCATAAATTTTAGTCTAAAACGTTTAAAAGTTGAGGGTGACCTGGGAGTACTTACTGAGAACAACAGTGCTGGCACTGGGGTAAAATGTTTAGTATTAATAAGAGACAAAAAGTCAGGAAGGTGGCCATTCCTACCACCAATGAAAAATAATCTGGAAATAAAAAAAAGTCTCGATTAAATGGCATTTCAATAAATGAACAAGCATTTGACATGCTTCAAAATTATTCCTGATTTTGTTTTGTTGATGTTATAAACATTACAGAATCTTTTTATCATATCTAAAAGTTAGGTTTTATTGCTATATAAATATCTTAACTAAACATAATAAACTCTTAATATATCACATTGAATGTTATCAGGTGTGTTGAGGTGACCATCACAGTAAAAAAGGTAATTATGAAATTTCAGACTTGAAATCCATGCTGTCTAATCATATCAAAAGACAGATCATTGGGTGGGGGATAGGGAGGGGGGTTGAAAGAGAACTTTTCTCACATCCTCTCCTAGTTTCAGCCTTCATAAAATATTATTTCACACCCACATCCGTGAGAAGTGAACTGGAAAAACCATGGTTATAGCAAATGGTACACATATCCCACCCACAAATTTTCATACCAGATTGAACTTTCTTCAAAAACAAGGGCAATTTTCTCCTTCTCACAAATCATTGTTCCTTCGAATGACCACTCACTATAAATTAAGCATACCTGGAGGAAGCAATAATGCATCCATTCAAACCACCAAAACAAGAACAAGCCACAAAGACAGGCATGATCCAGGCCATTATACCAAACATCTTCTCTGCAAATGTCTGAAATTAATAAATAATGATTAATTAATTAATTATTATTAACATTATTATTATTATTTGTTACAGAAAGTGACCAATTTTGAGGTTCACTTTAACCACATACAATTTATGTTTTAGAATTAACCGAAACTGAAAAACTGACTTAATTTATATTTAAGTAATGTTGGTATGAAAAAACTGAAGATGTCACTTTTTAAAAACAAAACAAACATGATCAAATTCCACTTTAATGGAGTATCGCAAATAACAAGTCCCCCTTTCCTTTAAATGTATTTTAGACCAACAAACCAACTAAATTCCTTAGAAACATGGGTCCCGGATAACATTTTTTTCTCCTTACTTACCACAGCCACGGCATCAGAAGCTAACATCTCTGCTGGCGATAAGACGGTAAAATAGGCAATGTTAACCAGGATATAGAAACCAGTGACAACAGGGATAGATATCCAGATGGAGCGGGGGAGATTTCTATGAAGAAAAAATAAAGAAAAATATAAAAATGTCCTATTCAATTACCTTTTTACAACTTTTAAGTATATGGAGATAATACAGAAATTTTTGAACTTTTTATTGACAGAAACTGTAGGACCAGAATTAGGCATTAAAACTTTAACATTTCTTATTATTTATAAAATTGTTATAACAATACTATATGATCCAAAATATATATTTTGAACTAAGGTGATTTAAAATCAATCTGCATCACTTCAATAGTTGTCAAATAAGTCTAGTAAAAAAAAAATCTAATCATTTTCTTATAATACTACACAATGTTTCATCATTTTATTCATATCATGATCTTATTTCAAAATAAATGACACATAACATAAAATTCAATTTCTGAAAAAAAAAATTAACAAATAGTACAGTAAGATTTCACAGAAATGAAGTCCAGTATCAAAACACCACTGAAAGATTTTGCCCAGCAAAGATGGTATTGGCAGAAGTATAATCTGCAATAAACTTTGTCACGGACAAATGGCAACTAATAACTTCAATACTGTTTTGATTCCAATGATATACATCTCACAGTAATAACCATTCCAATTATCCAAAGTCACATTCAGTGAAATACAACCCACCTGTATATATCTACTATTACAAAGATAACACCATCAATTTTCACCAACAGAAGGTTTAGTTTCTCCTCACAATCTAAGAGACCATTCCCACAGATATTTAGATCGATCTATCCCCCTGGGAGTCTCACTGGATTGCTGTCAGCTCAAACGGCTTAAATGTCTGTCCCACCTACTAAAAGCTGTAAGGGAGTAATTAACTTTGGTGCGCGCTCCGCTCCCGGAAGCTGACAGCAATTTAGCATGAACCCCCAGGGAGTTAGGTCGATCCAGATGGATCTATCTAAATCTGTGGGAACCTAGTCTAAGATGGTCAACCTCTCATTGTAATATTAATGAGGCATGCTAAGCCTCATCCTTTAGTGATATCCGCTATTGTATATCAGGAAACAAAATACGCTGAAACTTGGATCCTCACCCCTTTAAAACTTCCCCAGTTTAATTTATGTAATATATTGCTGCTTGCTGGTACAAGTTTGCTCTACTTCTACTGGGGAAAGGGCAGCTTTTGAATTTCCATAGATTAAATAAATAAAATTTGTTTTATTTGTTTATTCATTTATTGATGGGGTGGCCTTCGTGCAAAAAGTCTTTAAATTTTTTAAAGACTTGTTGAACAATTGCAGTTATTGTGTTGTTGAAAAAAAAAAAAGGTTGGTAATTCCTAGTCCCCACCCCCATTAATAATCATAATCAACTTAGAGCACAGCTTTCTACATGACAGTACTAGTAGTCAAACACAGTGTTTGGTTGTGTTGTGTAAAATAATAGAATAACACCAATACAACAATAGGAACAGATATACGTGTAGAAGCATAAATGTCTCCAGTTGACAGTCCCCTACCCAGACGTTTCAGTTCCAATGCTTGCCAGTTTCCCATGTTTTCAAATCTCTACATGTACATGCTTATCCTACAGAGGACTGGTCCCGGGAAGGGGGGGGGGGGGTTAAACCAAAATCCCATCCCCCCACCCCATCCCTAGCTCCAGAGGCAGACACTCTGACCACATGGAAATGATATATCCTTTTTGAATTGTTAACTACAGACCTGGACATCCACTGAATACAACAATGATCTATCTTAGGGTGCTTTCCCTGAGATTTAGATCGATCTAAAGATTAAGATTTAGATCGACCTAACTCCCTGGGGGTTCACGCTAAATTGCAGTCAGCCGAGCGGGCACCATAGTTAATTAACCCCTTACAGCTTTTAGTAGGCGGGACAGATGCTTAAGCCAGCCAAGCTGACAGTAATCTAGTGAGACTCCCCACAAGGATAGATCGATCTAAAAATCTATGGAAATGGGGTGTTAGTTTATTTTCCAACAGAGAGTATCCCTGTCCTTTTTACACATTGGTGAAGAGATATCATTTGGTGTCAAGTGTCATCAATAAAAGACACAGAAGACATAAGGGTCTGAACTTATGACCCCCAGGTCGCAAAGTTCAAAAAGCTCTGCAAGAATGCAATCAATAAGTTACCCTTCTCATGCTGTTGTGTGTGTGTGTGTGTGTGTGTGTGTGTGAGAGAGAGAGAGAGAGAGAGAGAGAGAGAGAGAGAGAGAGAGAGAGAGAACTAATAGAAACCAAAGGGCCAATTTTCCTTTATGTCCACAATACAACAAACATTTGATATGTTTTATTTCTCAACATATCAGAAAGACCCCTTTGAAATATTCATAAAGCAAAGTCACACATACTGGCAACAGCATGTAGTACAGTGAAATCAAATACTGCCATATATTCACTACCGACTATAAAATCAAGGTGCATGTTTAAGTTCAATCCCACAAAAAATTCAGACACATTATTCCACCACACAGACCCATATATAAGATTCATGACATTAAGTTGAATTTGACGGGTCCAATTAGACATATACCACATGAAAGATATATAAATATATAAAAGCCATAGGCAGATGCTACACAGAACTAAATGACAAATCATCACATATGTTCTGAACAGGTGGCAATCCATAGCTGTATTTACACATAGAGAATCAAGTTGTAGGCTGCATTTACACAGAGAAATGATGATGTTTTAACATTAACTTAAATGATAAGCTGTAATCATGTATCATACTATGCCAACTGTTACGCTTTAATTTACAGTTAAAATTTCAATCACAAGAAGTAGTAAGAAATAGTAGTATGCAAACATTGTATTATTCTGTCAGTGAACAGCTACTAAGCTAATGCCTGTAATTTCATTCATTCCGACACAAAATAACCTTTATTGTTTTGTATTGTATTGTATTGTACACAGAAAATTCAGTCATAGGCAAACCAAGTTACGGAAGTGTGTAAGGACCAAAACAAAATCCTATAGGGCATATGCCTATAGAACATCCTAGAGGAAATATTCGTAAGGAAAATCAACACATTTTCATCTTTTCTTTTTACTGCCTGTGCTCATGACATACTATAACATAGTTTAAATCTTCCATCATTTCAATTATTCTTTATGATTGCTTGTAATATCTAGCTTCATAATTTTACATTTTTAAAAGGCAATTTCAAGTCAAAAGCTCATAGTCCCCATTGGACTGAAGTGATTAATTCGGGGAAAAATGTGTCTGGTCCAATGGCTAGTTCAGTGGCTGATGCAATAGGAAGTCTCTCTAATGATTACTGATACATGCTAATTTAATCGGCAATTTCAAATCAAAAGCTCAAAGTCCCCATTGGATTGAACTGGTTATTTTGGGAAAAATGTGTCTGGTCCAATGGCTAGTTCAGTGGCTGATGCAATAGGAAGTATTTCTAATGATTACTGATACATACTAATCAACCCTGCGTTAATCCTACAAACTCACTATCCATATCCATTCACGCTGTTTACACATGCACTGAGCAAACCGCAAATCCCACCCACTCTGGCTCTTGGCCTGTTTCATCAGAAACCCCCACTCCTGATGCAATGCCAGTTAATGGAAAGCTATTTCTTATCCCACACTCGCAACATGGGCATGAATATGAAAACAGAGATAAGCCTATAACAAAAAGAGCCTAATCAAACTCAACTGGACAAATATCTATTACATGCTATATCAGAGAAATGTCAGACTGACAATGAGAAGAAATCAGGGAGTACCTTGGGTAGCCTGTAGACATAGAGGTCATTGAGTTCAAATTCACGTAGTAGTAATGGCAAGTTATAAAGGTAAACAGCTTTTGGTTCTGACTAACAGTTCTCCTTAAGATATACTAGTAACATAAAATATCTCTTGATTATCTGAGAGAGAGAGAGAGAGAGAGAGAGAGAGAGAGTCATTAGATCATTAGGGCTCAGGAGTTTCAATTGGGGGGGGGGGGTGAGGGAACGGGCAGGGAGCTGTGAACAAATGCCAAGCACTACAGAAAATTATCCCAAATTGGGTTATCAGGGCCTGTGTATACTGGAAAATACCGTCTGACCTGAAATTTCACAGTGCACGGTTATCACAAATAAAGCAGACGCAGGCAGACATGAGCCTGGGTTTGGGACCAAACCCTGGAATACGCCTTAGATCCCATCAGAAATGAACTAAAATTTTTGGAATAACATACAAAAAAGTTCATGCCTGTATAGGGCATGATAAACTATAGGAGTATCAGGGAACATTATGGATGAGATGAGAATCAAGTTCATGTAAATATCAGTTTAAAAACATACGAAAAGTGTGTTCTAACTCACTGAACAAGGTCACTATATACAGCCAGGTAAATCCATCAATACTGGGGTCAATGAGAGCATCTTAATATGGAACAAGGTGATCAATACAGTGGACAATGAAGTGGTCAAAGAACCATTTGTCAAATACACATGACTGCACTGTGACAATTTGCATAGAGGAAACTGCTGGAAGTACTTGCAGCATGTTAAGGAGAGAGAGAGAGAGAGAGAGAGAGAGAGGAGAGGAAAGAAAGGAACTGGATATGCCCTAATAAGGCAAATAAAACATGCTCAAATGAGACTGATGAGACTGATTAGCATCAGCATGAATGACTTCACATTAGTACCTCTGATACAGACATCAGTTATGTGACCTTGTATATTACGATATAAGGACAGGGCCATATTTGAGACATCACTGCCATCTAACATGCAATGTGCATTTTATCTTTTTGAAAAATTGACATGAGACATCAGTACTAGACTGCACCTAAGTCACCTTTACAATTCTTTCTGAACAAGGGATGAACTTAATTTTACAAAATTAGATATGAGAGAGAGAGAGAGAGAGAGAATACAAGCATTTTTTTTTTCAAAATCCACATCAAAAATTTGCAGATCTTGCACATCACTACAGATAAAAAAAAGAGTTCAGAAACTAGATAAAAATGCCATACAGGTAAAATTAGTTCAAAGGTCATGCGTAACAGCTCACATTTGAGGGAGGGGGG